ACACCGAATTTCTCCCTCAACTAATTCAAAATCACCTCATTTCCCCAATACCATGTGAACCAATGAAACCTCCTTATCCAAATTGGTACAGGTCAGATCAACATTGTGCTTACCAGTAAGGAGTCGCGGGACACTCAACTGAAGATTGTCGAATGTTCAAGATCGAAGTCCAACAAATTATGAAAGCTGGTTTGTTAAAGTTTGACGAAGATCCTAAATCTCCAGACGTCAGTAATAACCCACTGCCAACTCATGGGAATTAGTAGGCATGTTACAAGGCAAAGCTCGATTTAAGGATGATGTTGATCCTATCTACTAAATAAAACATCGAGATAATTTGCCATAACAAAATATGTATCACTTTCGCTTTCACCGTCGTGAATAAAAGGTCTTTCACGTTACGACCTATTCGGAGCACTGTGTGACCATTATCAATCTTAATTTTAGAGTTTGCATCAATGGGTTTTCATAATCAAAATAGCGAATACCACTTCTGATGTCTTTTAAAAAATAAATATAAAAAGATTTATTTTCTACAAAAATGAAACCCATCAAAATGCAGTTTCATGCTCAAGTTAAGCCATGAGATTGCCATGTTGAGAAAATGTGAACACCCCACTGGTGTTGAGAATTTAAAACACCCCATTAGTGTCGAGAGCTTGAGCGCCCCACTGTCATTAAGAGTATGAACACTCTACCTGAGTTCATATAAAATTGTGAGTCAAAATTAATAGTCAAAAGGTGTAGCAAGTATACGACATCACGCTACTTGTAGAATCTTGTTGCCACTGTAGTCGAATTTTGCTAACACGTTGAGACTCCGTCCACATGAAGTCAAATAGCCAAATCCCAGTGCACCGACACACAAGGGACTCAACATTATGGATAGGAAACTTCTCACTGAATGTCATGACTAGAGGATTGAAGGAGTTTAAGGATGCAATCTATGCAAACCAAGGAATCACACGCACGAAACACTTATCTATACAAACAAGCACATAACGCCAGCAATCTCGCTTCTTCGGGAAGGGAATAGCCAGATCAGGCTAGCTTACAAAAGACACCACATTCTCAATCACCAAGGCAGACTCTCGGCCTTCCTATACTTGTGTCAAGAAAAAACAAATTTCAGAATTATGGAAAATGAGAAGCATAGATGAGGGCATACCATAGCCAAGTAAGTCCCGCACAAAAAAAAAGGAGCAAAAAAGGCAAGAAAAAAGAAAACATGTTGTGGGACTTACAAATTAGGTGCCCCTAGTTAGCATTTGAAGCATCAACCGCATGCACCAAATCAAGGTCTTATAAAAAATGATGACCTCAAGCAAGGACCTTCCATGATAAGAAAGCCTTTTCGGCCAAAATTACTTCATCCCAGATACTCATCATTTTGAGAGCAAGTCAGAAGCTGAAGCTCCACCACAACCGACATTTAGAGGTCAAACAAAAATCTTGACCAGTCCATAACCAGATTACATTTGCAAAAATCTCAAGCCACGACTCATGAAACCATAATCTCAAAGACAGGGGGCAAAGCCAGCCAAACACACATTCCCCCAAATATGCCCAGAACTGCCAGCATTTTCATACAAGATAACGTCAACAAAAAGATCCTGATAATTGTGTTTCTTGACCCATCAGGACAATCTCATCCTTTGGCGGTAAAGACAAATTCCCTTTATGAGAAGCTTTATATGGGTAAGATCAAGATCTGGCTTATCCTTCACCCACCTAAATAAACCACACTTCAAGAGCAAGAAGACTCCTACCAACAAAGTCATATTGGACAAAAGCCTCTTTCATAGGAGACCGAAACGTCCACAACAAAGCCATATCAAGGTCACCTAAATCAATCACGCCAAGGTCTTCCATGTTGCTGCACAAGGAACGCAGTGGGCCACCAACATAAAAGTCGATGTCTAAAGGTGACTAGAATCTTAATGGTAGCTGAAATGTCGTACACTCAAATCACCTATAGGAATGAGTGATGAGCGAAATCAAAAGTGAGAGTGAAAGCGATCAAAATCAAAAGTCAAAGTGAAAGCTAGGGGTTACTTATATTCTCATGGCTTGGCTTACATTCCTCTTCAAAAAACCAAATTTGGCAACATGGCAACTACCACGAAAAAGCGGTTTTATCCAGGTTGCACACACTTCTCGAAAGCAAAGTCTTGATATGGCTTTCCGTTTTACTTCTCTAATAAAAGTTTCCAAACATTCTTGCATTTGACTTATGTCAAGATTGATAAAGTCACTCTTTGTTTCGAAGAATAGAAAGTGAGTAACAGATCAACGTGGGGCAAAAATGGTGCACCATGGGAGAAGGGGAAGTTTGAATACCCAAGAATCAGATTAATCAACTTTTTACTCAGGAGTTGATGAAGAAATCTCAAGGAATTTGAGAACATTCAAATCTCATTAAAACCAACCGGCCAACTTATTATCCTTCAACTTCATGGTCAGAAGGAGAAGGAACCAATATACTGCACATACCATGAGATGCACAACTCTGAAATATGTGGGTCCAAGCTTGACTGACAAGAAGAACATAGATAAAACACGTCATCACCTTAGCTCACAAAGTATTCTTCGCGCAACTACCACCAAGAAGATATACCTCAAGACAACAAGTTCAAAGTTGTTTCAAAATAAGCATGAACTATGGATCGAGTTGATCAAAAGGGATTGAAAATCTTGGAAGATGAGCAATTTAAAGGAGGCCCAGACCAAAAAAATAAAATAAAAATAAAAATTGCATAGAGATTATCAAATGCATCACATCCTCTTTTCACTCAAACATTCACGACTTCATCAGCATGATTCATCACACAATCAATTTTGAAAATCATTTTGATACTCCTTAAATAACATCATCATATGTTAAAATGGATCATGTATTAATTGCCAACAATCCCCAAAACAACTCATACATCTAGTTGGATTTCCAATATCTGTTAAAAGAAATCATTGCAAGATAAAACACTGCATTCACATGAATTCTTCAAGTCTCACGTTTAGTCTTCACGTGCATTTATGACAAACCACAACATTGGTTTAGGTATGTCCTAAACAAATACCCAAACATACGATATTGGTGCTGGCGAACAATCGCGAGCCTTCTAATGGATTTGTTCCGTCGACTATGACGGACAAATCCAAAATTACCTGATAAACTTTTTTCGTCGGCTATCATGAGCAAATTAAGAATCTCCTTCTAAACTTGTTCTGCCGACTATCACGGGCAATTTAGAAATTAACTAGTCAATTTGTTTTGTCATCTATCACAAGCAAATTAGACCCTTGCTAAACTTGTTCCGTTGACTATCACGGACAATTTAGAAAACCTAGTCAATTTGTTTCGTCGATTATCACGAGCAAATTAAAAGCCTCCTGCTTAAACTTGTTCCGTCGACTATCACGGGCAATTCAAAAATCCTAGTCAATTTGTTTCGTTGACTATCACGAGCAAGTTAGACCCCCTACTAAATTTGTTTTGTCGACTATCACGGGCAGTTCAAAAATTACCTTGTCAATTAGCTTCGTCGGCTATCACGAGCAAACTTAAAACCCCCCTCTAAAGTTGTTCCGTCGACTATCATGGACAATTTAGGAAACCAAGTAAATTTGCTTCGTTGGCTTTCACAAACAAATGAAATCCCTCCTTCTAAAGTTGTTCCGTCGATTATCACGGGCAAACTAGAAGTTACCTAGTCAATTTGCTTTGTCAATTATCACGAGCAAATTAGACTCCCTGCTAAACTTGTTTCGTCGATTATGACGGACAATTTAGAAAACCTAGTCAATTTGCTTCGTCGACTATCACGAGCAAATTACACCCTCTGCTAAAATTTGTTTCATCGACTATCACGAGCAAATTAATTCCCTCCTACCAAAACTGGTTCGTCAACTATCACGAACAATGTATAAAACCTTTACATGTCTGCACACCGCAAGAGGACAACCAAAATCCCAAGTCTGCTATACCGCCATGGGAACCAATTTATACCCCACTCTGCTTACCGCACAGGGCAACCTAACTTCCAAGTGTGCTCTACCATCACGGGAACAAACCAATACCCTATTTTTCTTACCACATGAGACAACCAAATTCCAAAGTCTTCTCTACAACCACGGTGATAAGTCAACATCTTACATAGCTATAACTCCAGGGACTTGAGGAGCGCCCCTACCATTCAAAACCTCGTAGGAGCCGACGAGCCCCTCTACCATTCAACAACGCACCGGAGCTGAGGAGCACCCCTATCATTCAATACCACACGGGATCTGAGGAGCACCCCTATCATTCAACACCTCACGGGAGCTGTGGAGCGCCTCTACCATTTAATACCTCGCACAGGAGCTGGCAAGCAACTCTATCAGTCAACAACGCACGGGAGCGGAGTAAAGCCCCTACCAATCAATACCTCACAGGAGCTGGCGAGCCCCTCTACCAGTCAACAACGCACGGGAGTGGAGTAAAGCCCCTACCATTCAAAACCTCACGGGAGCTGGCAAATCCCTCTATCATTCAACAACGCCCGGGAGGTGGCGAGCACCCCTACTATTCAATACCGCACGGGATGCTAGTTAGCGCCCGAAAAATATTGCATATACTTCTCAGACTCTAAAGAGCTCGAAATTTCCCACATTATCCGGGACAACCACTATATTTAAACTCAAAAGAAAGAAAATTGTAACAATAAATTAAATAGAATGCTTGAAAAGAATTGGTTGAGATTGCAATAGCAAGTCAATAAGTAACAATAATTTTCAGACTCGCGTTTATTTAATTATAATTTCAATTTGATTATTAACCATAAAATACATCGATTTGATTAAGGCTAGCAATGGCAAGTCTTGAACACCAAATAATTAACTGAAATCAAATTAGTTGAGAAAATTGGATCGACCTAATTGAGATAGTATGATTAGCAGTGGCAAATCTTAAACATCAATTCTGAAAAAATAATAGAGGTGCAAAGTTTAAGGTTCGAACGTGGCGTGGTAGATGAAGTGGAGGCAAAAGTTTTATAGTTAAATTAAACACATGGTACAAAGTATGTGTAATGACGTACCAAATCAAGAACTAAAACTAATTACAATGATTGCCTGTTACTCCTAACAACAACAAAATTTGAAGTTTGAGACACCATTTCAAACTGGGCCGACTCATCAATTGAAGTCATTGGGCTCCTTTTCTCCTCTCTTTGAGCCCAAACCAAATAACAAACCTGCAAAATGAAAAAGAAAATGATCAGAATACAATTCAAAACAGAGCTCAATTCGGCCCAAAACAGAGCCCAGGTTCAAGACTAGACCAAGCCCAGTACCGGCCCAAACGAATTCAAGGCCCAACTCGGCCTAACCTTATCCAAGCAGTTAGTCAGCACCGAATTTTATAGGTGGAGGCTTGAGAGGCTGCCTTAAAATTCGACCAATCAGAAAGAGGCAACACAATTTCAGCCTCAACAACAACCAATCAACAAATGACACGTGGCGCACTCCTTTTGGTATGAATGAGCTATTTGGGACTCATTGTTGAGGAGGGGGGGGGGGGTTGAAAAAAAAAGTTACAATCCATTACAAAGATACAAAACGAAGCACAAATATAAATATTTGATCTGGTTCTTCTTTGCACCCTTCTTCTACATGAAGCTGGTCCAGAGGTCCGAAGATAGAAGCAGAAGGCCATTCTTGGGCCTATAAACTCTAAACAGGTTCGTGCTTTAATCTCCCATATTTGTTTTCGCCAAATTCATCCTCAATCACAGTACCGTTATAATCATCCAACTGCTTCCCTGTTTATCTCTACCAAATTTATTTAATTCATGAGCTGCTTCACATCCAAGCCATCGGTTCAGTTTCTATGTAGCAATATACTATTACTGCAATCTACATATATTCGATGTGCACTTCTACTATGCTATATAGTATTGGTGCTTTAATGTACAACTTAAAGTTGTACCATAACATTAAATGTATAAGTTTAGGTTGTACCATAAAGCAATTTGTACCATTATGTTATGGTACAACTTTACAACTTGAAGTTGTACCATCACTTAAAGGTACAAGTTCAAGTTGTACCATAAAAGAATTTGTACAAAAAGTATAGGTACAATATGAAGTTGTACCATAACGTAAATGTACAATTTTAAATTGTACCATAAAGACAAAATCCTATAGCACCAGTACTATATAGCATTGTAAAATTTCTCATATTCGATTCCTTTCAATTGAACACCGTTTATGTAGTAATAACTTATATCTTCTATGCAAATCCACTTGCTTTAGTTACTATCATTACCCTAATTTCTTGGTACGCATCGTTTTAAACTTTAGTCAAGTTTCAACTTCTTTTTAAGCATATATAACTTAAACCAACATACATATATAGCTTTCAATCTTTAGTCAAGTTTCAACTTCTTTTAAGCATATATAACTTAAACCAACATATATATAGCTTTCAAGTCCAAAAATTTCAACAACCGAAACAAATATGATTCTCGTTCTAAAACCAAATCCAACAAAAATCAACATATCACGCTAAATTTCAGATTTTACAAACCGATAACTGTTTTTAACAATCAACCAGTCTAATAAAAATCACAAGCAATGGCTGTGAGATAAAAAAAAGGACTTCATTTTACATTTATTTATTTTTTATATAAAAATAAGCAATTTATGAGTAATGACCATAACTGTAAAAATTCCTTCTTTTCCCTAAACCCTAGATCCCGAATATGCAAACACAACCACATTCATTAAGATCCATATCTATTGAACCAATTTTGAAATAATCAAGAATACTATCTTTTTAACCTAATCACCCCAATCGTACTAACTTAGGTTTAAGAATAACCTCACCTAGATCCGTCCATTTTCATAACCTGCATAAAAACAGGAGTAGAGATCAGATCCAACCAAGATCGAAATTAACAAATACAAAATTATAGAAATAAAAAGATTCACATGTCCCCTATTGCCGGGATTCTCGCCAACGGCGAGTTTGTTTTCTCCTCCTCATATCCCTTCTTTACCTTGTTCGTCGAAAACAACCTCAATAAAGTCCAAAAATAAATTTAAATCAGAATCTCGGTAAACGAATAGCGCTTAGAATCGACATGCAATGAGAAAAATAAAAGGAACCTTTGAACTCCGACCTAGTCGTCGCAGAGCCCTCCTTGGTCTCTGTCGCCGCCGGCGGAACCCGGGATCGGCGGTCTCCACGCACCTTAGCCCTCATCCAAAAATAAAAACCAAAAAACTTAAGAAATCCTTAGATTTTGGACAATGGCTTTTGGACAAACAATGGCTTTTGGACAAATCCTTCATGTGTGGGATTTGAGAACCAAATCCCACATCCAAATCCTTGAAGCAAACGACCCCGAAGAGAGACGAGAGGCGAGAGGTGAGAAGCGGCTGCTAAGGCCTTTAGGGTTTCTAGAGAAGAATTTATACCTGGTTCTGCAAAAGGACTCGATTGCCCCTAGGTTTTCTTGCAAATTACCACCCCTGCCACCGCATTTTCGTGGACTTTGATCCCGTGTTATGGGTACGTAGGCAACAGATAAGGTTCGACTCCAACTAATCCACTAATTAAGTTTATCCTCAATTTTGACGTCAGTGGGCGTATAATTAGAATTAAAATTAATATGATTTAATTTCTTTAGTGGTCCAGTAAGGCCCTAAAAATACCTAAAATACCTAATAATAAACTAATACGTCAATGGACGTTTTGGTCAATTATACCTAACGAGACGGCAATATATATACAACATGCAAGCACAAGATAATCTTTTACCTTTGATGTCGCCTCCATTGTCGTCACCGGCGTCGTTCATCGCCGTCCCCATCACCGTCGTCGTTTCTCTCTCTTTCCCGCGCCGTTTCTAGAGAGGAGGAAGAGCAGGAGCCGGCGTTTGGAGAGAAGAGAATATCTAGGTCTTCGTTTTCTTGAATAGGAGAGGGGAAGTAGAAATGACGAGAGAGAGTGGCGGCGGCTAGAGGATTACGATTTCGTTTCTCTAGGACAAGGCGGAAGAAACAAGGAGGGAGGTGGATGAGCGACCTCTCTCTTTTTGCTGCTTTTTTGTGACTAGTTCGGGAAGAGGGAGTTGAGAAGTAGAGAGACGAGAGAGGAGAGGCAAGAAGCGGCCGCTATGGCCGTTAGGGTTTATAGAGAAGAATTTATACCTAGTTGTGCAAAAGGACTAGATTGCACCTAGGGTTTCTCGCAAATTACAACCCCTGCCACCGTGTTTTAGTGGAATGACCAAATTGCCCCCGCTTTGTCTCTGATTTAAAATAAAAAATCACCCAGGACCAGTATTCACCGAGTTTCAAACTCGTGTCCACAGGACTACAGATTGGCGTCTTATCCAGTTGGACTGCTGGCCCATCGTGCATAATTATAATTATCCTGCTTAGTTTTATTGGTTTAAAGTCCTTAATACGAAAATGTGAAATGCGGATTAAGTTAGTTTTGCTCCTTGTCTGATACATCGAATTTCTTCTTAATGATTAAAACTCTTGCATTCATCTTAGTAACATCATAATAATCTAATTAAAATTCTATTAATAAAATTATTGTGCAAGAATAACGTTTAGTAGAACGTGATAAAAGTTAGGATTAAAACTATCAAAGTTAACAAAAAAAAAACCCTTAATACGAGAATCATTATAGGTGTAACGTGATAAAAGTCATACAATTAAATTATCAAAGTTACAACGAACTACATGGACTTTGATCCCGTGTTACGGGTTCGTAGGCAACCGATAAGGTTCGAGTCCAACTAATTAATTTTATCTTCAATTTTTACGTCAGTGGGCGTGTAATTAAAATTACAATTAATATGATTTAATTTCTTTAGTGGTCCAGTAAGGCGCTAAAAATACCTAAAATACCTAATAATAAACTAATACGTTAATGGACGTTTAGCTCAATTATACCTAACGAGACAACAATATAGTAATGGTCTAGTGGGATCCTAAAAATACAAAATTACTACTAAAAATACACCCAACTCGTATGAAACCTATCAACTTAAGTAGTATCGATTTAGGGCGTTGTGGGGTGTGATATCACTTCCCCACACGTAACCGTACTCCCGAACCTAGATTTCTATATTTTAATTCGCAGACCAAGCCCCGGTTCTAACCTAAGGTTAGAGCTGCCAGATGAGTGTTCGATCCACTCCAGGTAAGATCGATGGCGACTCCCAAAAAATGAAAGCGACGACCCCGAACCCCGAAGGGACGGTTGCGACAGAAGGCATTGCCGGTGGATGGATTCACACCACCTCTTCCTTATTCCACAAGGATGTACAAGGAGAGGTTGTAGAACGAGTGTGGAGGACATGATGGTCAGAGTGGACAAGTTTTGCTATCCGACCGATTTCGTGATCCTCGACATAACTGAGGACTCGGATATGCCAGTCATCCTCAATCGTGCCTTTCTTGAAACCGCAAGGGCATTGATATATGTTAATGAGGGGACCCTAATTTTGAGGGATGGTAAGGAGAGAATCCAGCTTGAAATTGATCCTAGGGTTAGGAGTGATGAAGTGAAGGGAGTACTTTCAAATGATTTGAATGAGAGTGGAGGAGAGCCTCTCAAGGCAAACCCCACCGTTACTTGTGTTGGCTTTGATGATGTTGAGCAGGAAGTTAAGAAGGATCATAAGCCCAAAGGATCGAGGATGAATGCTTGGAGAAGAAGGATGAATAGAGCTTTGGCCCAGAAGAGGGGGGAGGCCAAAGCAATGTTGGCCAACCAAGAGGGCCAACTCAAGGAGCCTAAGATAGGAGGCTACAAGCCTCGCCCCGAGAGTGAGGTGGATCCGCTCTCAGTGGCATCACGTTTGAAGTCCTGATCGATCCTCAACCGTCAAGCTAATGACGATAAATTAGCGCTTGTTGGCAGGCAACCCAACGGAGGTTTGTTTTCTATTCCTTAATTTTCGTATTAGTGTCGTGTGAAGAGTTCGAGTAGGGAAGTGGTGTCCCCGTTCCGAGTTTGGTGATTTTGCGGTCGCTAAGGCCGTGAACTGGGCAGCGCGTCCGTGAACTCTGAGCCCTACTTATAAAAGTGGCGTGAACGGCGACTCTTCACTTCACGACCAAAATCTCGCCGGAAAATTTCAAATCTTCGCCAGAAAACGCGAAAATCCGTCGGTTTTTCGATTTCCCCCCATTTTGGGCGAGCAAAACCAAAAACCAACGTCATACCTAGTCTCCTTTCCTCAAAACCGCCCAGTGCTGAGATTTCGGGGAGATTTGTAGCACAATTTTTCCGGCCAAGTCACCGGTGGCGAGTCTCTGACGAGCTTCCGACAAAGCTCCGGCAACCCCTCTCCAGTCAGTTTTTCGACCGTTTTTTACCGACCTCGCCCGCACCTCACTTTCTCCTTCGTCATACTTCAGTCTCCAGGTTTGTTTTTCGACTTTACCTTTGTGAATCGCGGAGAATCGGATTAGGTAGAGAAGTGAAGTTGAATTTTTGTGCTTTGCATGATTGAAACGAGATTTAGTGCGAGGAATGAGGTGAATTACGTCGATTGAATAATCAATTGAACCGTGAATTATCCAAAACCATGCCACGGTGGTTTGAGCTTAAATGTTTTATCCATGGTGGAAAAACAAGTTGTAACACCCCAACTTTTGGGTATAGGTTCGACCAAACGATTGGATCGACGATTACTTACGAAGGGTTGAAACCATAGATTATAAATAATAACAATAATAACATTAATAACTAATGTTATTATTATCATGATCTCGTTAATCACCAACACTTCCCGTTTCCTTCCAACAACAAACTCATTGTTGTTATTATTATGATTATTAATAATAATCACCTCCTCCCACTCATTTTCATCAGCGTAATTTTGGTTCATGTTTTAAAGTCAGAATTTGGAAGTTTTAAGATGAAAAGGGTTTTTAGAAATTTATGAGATTTATTTAATGGATTTTTACGTCATTAGTAATAGGTTAAGTCTTGTAAATTTGGAGAAAATCACAGTATTTGAGAAAATTATTTTAAGAAGTTCAATGCCCTTTTTAAAGAATTTTGGGGACTAAGCTAGGAGGACGGAAAACTCTGCGGAATACCGACTAAGAGTAATTAATCTCAATTGATAGGATCAAGGAAGCGATCAAGTTAAGGATCTTCGCGTCCAACGAATTAAAGTATCAACACTTGAGAGGTGAGTGTAAAGGGGGTAAATTCTACGCCTTACGGTATTTAATTTTTTGAGATTTGACTGCTATGTGTCTTACTTGCCTTTGTATGCTTATATGATGCCATGTTGGTTTGTGTGAATATGCCTTCAGTTGTATGTTATTGCATGCTTTCCTTACAAGTAAGTTCAAGTTTAAGAAACAAGTACTTTTTAAGAAGTAACTCACCTTTAAGAAGATGAAGTCGTTTTAAGTGTTTTTAGTCACTAGCGCCAGTCCGTTGCCTTTTGAGACATTTTGAGATAGAGCAGCAATTATGCTCTTGAGACTTTTAAGATGAGCAGCAATTATGATCTTGAGAATCGTGGTGAAGAGCCACCACGATAAGTTTAAGATGTTAAGGGGATGAATTGTTACGACTCTTCTAACTAAGTTTAAGTTGAAGGAAAGCCTAGATGGCTTCTCATACGTATGAGTTGGCAACCGGACTAGCTAGTGAGAGATCCCCGTGTCAGTCAAAAGATTTAAGTCAAGATTTAATCTTTAAGAAGGGAGAGTAACTTTAACTCCGGAAGAATTTTAAGAGTTAAGATTGTTAAGAATGGAAGTACAAACGACTTCCACTAGCAGAGGTTAAGTGTTTAGAGAAGAATACTAAAGTACTATAGATTTTAAAGTAAGAGCGTAGACTGACCCCAACTCACTCACCAGATCGTAGAGGAGGAAATCCTAACCAGCCAGTCCGTGATCAGCAAGCTAGAGGAGCTCAACACCATCTTCGCTGAGAGATGTCGAGCCAGGCGTCAGAGTAAGCATCAGAGAACTTTTCAAGTTATTAAGACTTTATGGTTAAGAGTTAAAGACTGGAGATTCATTTCTTATGGACGATTTAAGTTGAGCCCACTTGTTTAGGGCTTCGATTTGAGATATTAAGATGTTTGAGTTTGGTATTTTATTTAAAGTTGTGTTATTTGGGATTTTTAATTATACCCCAGGGTAGAAATTTCTCTTACCAAGTTCAAAGTAGTGGGATGTTTCATTTTGGTATCAGAGCCTGGTTTTCCTCTGTTTCTTGGGTCCCAAGAAATACTGGAATGTCGTTCTCAGTTTTAAAGGTTTTGACTTTGAAATATTTCAAGTCAAAGTTTGGCCAAACAAGTCAAGGATTTCTTTTAAGAATTTAGAATCTCCGGTCTACTCTAAACCATATTAAGAAAGAAATAACGGAGTTCTAAAGAGACGACATGTGTTTACAGTGCAGGTGTTGGCCAGAACCCCACACCACCGGTGCCACCACCGCAGAGACGTCCACCAGACTATGTAGGTTTCCGGAAGAGAAAGGTTGGAGATTTTAAGAGGGAGTGTTCAACGGACCCCATGGAAGTAGAGCAGTGGCTAGCTAAGGTCACTCGTACGCTGGTCGAGATGAGAGCTGACGACGAGGACAGAGTACTGCTGACAGTGTCTTTGCTACAGGACGCTGCATACAACTGGTGGACTACCCATCCAGCTAGTCAAGAGGATCCACCAGCCATCACTTAGCCAGAGTTCCTGCAGCTATTCAAAGACCACTTCATACCGGAGGCCTACCGGATCGGGAAGCACAGGGAATTTCTGCGAATCAGCAGAAATGGGGCAATGAAGGCAGGGAAAGCGTGACTGATTACACGGCCAGGTTTGACAAGCTACTTACCTATGGAGGGCCTCAATTTCAGGGTGGAGGAAATGTAAGACCCCAACTTTTGGGTTTAGGTTCGACCAAACGATTCGATCGACGATTACTTACGAAGGGTTGAAACCATAGATTATAAATAATAACAATAATAACATTAATAACTAATGTTATTATTATCATGATCTCATTAATCACCAACACTTCCCGTTTCCTTCCAACAACAAACTCATTGTTGTTATTATTATGATTATTAATAATAATCATCTCCTCCCACTCATTTTCATCAGCGTTATTTTGGTTC